AAAAGGTGATTGCATTCAAGGATACTGGTGCTGCAAGATCGATGATGGATCCCAAGATCTTACCTCCTGAAGCATGGAAAAAGGAGACAACTTATTTTATAGTTGCTGATGGCAAAGCATTCAGAACCAATTTGATCACTAAACATCCTATAGGGATAAGATTTTTTCCTGAATGTGTTATCTGGACAAACGTAATTGCACTCCTCTGCCGGATAAAGATATTTTGATAGGCATGGATGTCTACACTAAAGTCAAAAAGCTTCAAATCCTTCCTCAAGGGATAAGATTCAAAAGAGATTTCAAGCCTTATTCAGAAATCTCAAGATTATATGCTCTTTCCGAAACTCCTCCTGAACTTGATGATATCAAAGGGAAACTGTTACCTCTGTGTACAGAAAATCATGGGGAATCTCTCACCCAAATCCTCTGTGGAGGAATGAAGACTTTTTTGTACAGCTTCCCTTCAAGCTCAATGTAGATATTAATCCAACCAAACCAACTCATCCAGGAATGTCCCCATCAGACCTTATATTGGCTAGAATTGAATGCCAAGAACTGCTAAAGCAAGGACTGATAGAGCCTACCAAATCTCCATAGGCATGTCAAGCCTTTTATGTGGAGAAAAGGTCAGAAAAAATTCGAGGCAAGAAAAGATTAGTGATGGACTATAGGCCTCTAAATCATTTTTTGCAGGATGATAAGCTCCTATTCCAAAGGTTGACACACTTCCTATCCTTTTTAAGGATGCTCATATCTTTTCCAAGTTTAATTTGAAAGCAGGTTTTTGGCAACTTGGATTAGATCCTGCTGATAGATACAAGACTGCTTTCTGCATTCCGAATGCCTAATACCAATGGAAAGTGCTTCCATTTGGTCTCAAAGTGGCTTTTTCTCTTTTCCAGAAAGCAATGACCAGAATTTTTGCTCCACTTTTAGATACAATTCTTATCTACATTGATGATGTTCTTCTTTTTTCTAAAAATATGGAAGAACACAGGAAACTGCTCAATCAGTTTGTAGAACTAGCTAATCAATACGGACTTATGCTCTCCGAGAAGAAGATCCATATTGCCCAAACTGAAGTTGATTTTCTGGGAATGCATTTCTCAAAAGGAATGTACCAGCCACAACCACACATTGCAGAAGGACTTGCAGAATATTCTGATGAAAATCTCACTTTTAAACAGATTCAACAGTTTTTAGGAATTGTTAATTATGTGAGAGATTTCATTCCTAATGCAGCAAAGTATACCAGTGTACTGTCCAAGCTGTTAAAGAAAAATCCTCCTCCGTGGGGTCCAGAACAAACTCAAGCTGTCAAGGAACTAAAGAAGATTGCTCAGAATCCACCAACCCTGAAGATTCCCAGTACTGGTAAAAGAATTCTTCAGACAGATGCTAGTGATCATTTCTGGGGAGCGGTTCTCATTGAAGAAGCTGAAAACAAGAAGTACTATTGTGGACATGCAAGTGGTCAATTTACAGATGCAGAACTCCATTACCATACCACTTATAAGGAAGCCCTGGCAGTCAAAAATGGAATCAAGAAATTTGATTTCTATCTTCAAGGTCACAATTTTGAAGTCCAGATGGACAATTCTTCTTTTCCGAAAATCCTGGAATTCAAGAACAAAATGCGACCAGATCCTCAAATCCTCAGGTTAAAAGATTGGTTTTCCAGATATGATTTCACTGTCAAACACATCAAAGGAAGCCATAACATTATCCCTGACCTCTTATCTAGACCTTCCAGATTAACCAAACCAAAAGCCCCTGTCCAGGTCATTTCTAGCATAGCCAGTGTTCCATTTCCTCTGATATACATGAATGAACCATTACCTAGAACAACCAAACAAAAAAGAGTCTATCCTCCAGAATTAGGCCAACCTACCTCAGTCTACCAGATCCGAAAGTTTGCCAAAGACTTTTATTTTTATTACTGTTATAAGGTAGGAAAAGAAAAAACACAAGAAATTATTCCCTTTGTCTTTAACCCAGAAATTCCTTTCCTGCACATCCTAGAAGTTTTTCCAGCCATAGGATGGGATATTTCAGAAAACACACTCTGGTGCATTTGGTGTCTCAGTTAATTATTCAGTTCCTCTTGCTCTTAAAGTCCAAAGGGCTTATGAGATCCTTATAACTCCTGATGCAGTAGATGCTTTTTTATGGACTTTGTTGGAATGGTATTCTCATATACCATGGTGGAGAAAAGAACTACACAAGATTATTCTAGCCAAGGAACAAGAAGGAAAAACTGAAGAAGAGATCTCAAAGATCACTGCCATTTTCATTATTCACAGACCTTACTGGCAAAGGCCCGATGGAATTCTTTGGTCTCAGAATATTGCATATCTTTGGAGATATTTTAATGATTATCCATTAGATCCCTGTTCCAAGAAGACTTTGCTGAAACATGTCCAAGAACTTAATGGATATGTAGAACCAGAAGACCAGCCCAGTTCATCACATGACCCAGGCCCAAGTTCCTCACTAGCCCAAGATCCAATGCAAATTGATTTGATCTTTGATCCAATAGATGATGATGCAAATGCTGATGTCATGGAAGAGATAATTGAAGAAAAGGCCAAAACAGACAAACCTTGGTGGAAAAAGATGTATGGTGAGGTCCACAGAGAAGAAAGGAAAGCTCTCAACTTGTCCATTAGCACAGACACTAATGATGATGTCTAGTACACTTGTGTGGTTATGATTTAAAGTGTGTGCAATAAATCAACTTTTAGAAAAGTTGTATCAACTTTTAGAAAAGTTGTTTGTCTTATTGTATAATTATGTCTAGTGTGATGTAATTTCCTTTTTTTGTAGTTATTATGGGTTCCTTGCCTATAAAAGGAACTTGGTGTGTGCTTGTATTCTCATATCGAGTTTACAGAAAATAAAAACTTGTGTGTTTCCCTATGGATTTCTAAAGAGTTCTCTCTTCTCTCCGAAAACTTAGTATAATGTTCTTACTATAGTTACTAATCTCTGGATGAGAAAGTTAGTATGCTCTACACTTGCCCTGCAAAGGGATCCTGTGTATCAGAAAACGGACTCTGTGATGATCCAGTCTTACGGTCCTCTCATCTTTAAGGATTCATGGATGATAGTCTCCAAGGAAAGAGCTAAGAGGCTAAGGGATGCCGTGAAATGCTCATATAGATGGATGACTAGTTCATGGATTCTTAAGGATTGTGAGGCTCCCGAACACTTGGTATCAGAGCCAACCTCTGTGTCATCCCCGATGACAGGCTCCCTGCCCGATGGTGGCAGCTTAAAGGAAACTCTTCGAGTTTCTTCCAGAGAGAAGGTAAAGATTATGCGAACAATGTTATTTTCCAATATGCCACGCGGACAAGTTCTCTACAGTGCGAACAAATATTATGCGAACAATGTTATTTTCCAATATGCCACGCGGACAAGTTCGCTACAGTGCCCATCGAACTTGGTAGCCAATGATTTCATTACACGTAGCACACTTTCGCAGGAAAAACTGACTGCCACATATCCAAGTTCGCTACGACTGGTAGCGAACTTTGTAACCAATGATTTCGTGACACGTGGCATATTTTCGCAAGAAAAGCTGACTGGAGGAAGTACGCTACCAGGGGTAGCGAACTTGGTGCGCTACGTGGCACAATCTCGTTGCCCGATCAGAATTAATCTACCAATCACAATAAAAACAGAAAACGAAAGAAAATGACAATTAATTGTCATTAATGCATTAATCACAATTAATGTACCAATCACCAATCAAATTAATGTATCAATCATCATTCACAATTAATTTTGATTACAATTAATGTACCAATCACAATTAATTTTGATCGATACATTAATTGTGTTTGATGATCGGTACATTAATTGTTTGTGATACTATTGTTACAAATTCGAACGATGTTTGTGAGAGATAAAATATGCCAAATAGGTGTCATGGAGTAGATCTCTAAATTATGTAAAATAAAATAAAAAATATCTGATTTGGATATCCGAATTAAAAGTTATGGTCCTCCGAAGTGATTGGTGATTGATACATTAATTAAGATTGATACAGTCAAAAGTTAATCCCATTGGTATGCTAATTGTGATTGGTGATTGGTACATTAATTGTGAGTGGTGATTAATACATTAATTTTGATTGGTACATTAATTACAATTAGTTGTCATTTTCTTTCATTTTTTTTATTGTGATTGGTAGATTAATTCTGATCGGGCAACGAGATTGTGCCACATAGTGCACTAAGTTCGCTAGCCCTGGTAGCGAACTTCGTTCAGTCAGCTTTTCCTGCGAAAGTCTGCCACGTGTCACGAAATTATTGGCTACAAAGTTCGCTACCAGTAGTAGCGAACTTGGACACGTGACAGTCAGTTTTTCCTGCAAAAGTGTGCCACGTGTAACGAAATCATTGGCTACCAAGTTCGCTAGGCACTGTAACGAACTTTCTCGCGTGGCATATTAGGAAATAACATTGTTCGCTTAATATTTGAATAAAAAACTTGATGAACAATGATATTTTAGTCACTGTTTCCTTGATTGCTCCGCATAAGGCAATCTCATTGGTCCATATTTTTTTAAATTAAAAAAATGAAACATAAAAATAAAAAGATTTTCGATAGAAGATAAGGAGACAGACGACTTGAGTTGAAAATTATATTGCCAACGATACCAAAAGTGGTAAAAAAATAAAAAAGTTTATAGGTACTACCTTTTTTTTTTATTACTTCTTATTATTAAATCTTAATCATTAATTTTCATCAATCTAACAGTTGTAAATTATTGGGTCATACTTATTAAATAATTAATTATTAATTTTGAATAAATTATAACCAATTAAAATTTGATAATAAAAGAGAATAAGAAAAATACTTTTCCCATAAATATAACATGTAAAAAAAAATCTATGGTTTGAGTTTAGATGGGTCAAATAGCCCTAAACTTTGTATAATATTTCTTTTCCTCGACATGGCATCAAAGTTATCTCTCTTGTTACATGGGCAAAGTATGGCTTGGAACTAACATCAACCAGTGCAGTGTCCTACATTTGTTTTTCATTTGCAACAACAACAACAATTGCGCTAAAAAAACATAAAAAGCGTGTTTGGTATCAGAAAGGAAGAGACAAAATGAAGCATGTAGAAAACGGCTTCAGAGTAGGTATGAACCTTTCATTCCAACGCCCACAACAAAAACTGAAACTTTAACTGAACCCCAAAATATTTGTGTTTTCACCTTTCAATTCTTCCAACACAAAACGCCAAAAAAACCGAAATTATCACTGACGTAGTTAGTGAGGGTTTTGGTTCCTTAATACCCATTTAAATCTTAAACAAAAAATGGAGACTCGAGTTGAAGTGGAACCAACTCTTATGTAAGTATTTTGATTCTTCAAATTTATTTATTTATTTTTTCTCTGTTGTGCCTTGTCTTTCAACATATCAACTTTTCCACCCTAATATCCAGTCTTTGCATTGCAGTGCATCCAGATTCTTAGATGACTTGTCTAAGACTTGCAAGGTGTGTTCTTTCTCCCATCCTGGTAACCCCTTTGTGAAATTATTTTGAATAGGGTTAGTATTTTTATTTTTATTTTGTATTTTTAAATTTGTGTTGTCATGTTTTCATTAAGATAAATAGGAGTTTCCGAAGTTTGTGGGGTGTTTATGAATGTTTGGTTTTGTTAGACATAGTAGTAACTAAGAACTTCTTGATTTATGCATTTTTTATATGGGAGTTGCAGAACTCATTTGGCAATGCCTATTAACAGTGTGGTAGATTTGGCGCTTTTTTCATTAGAAAATTGATGGCTTGTGAATTATGAGTGAATGTTTCCTTTCAAACATTTTGAAGATATTCCTCAAGTTAGTTGCAAAACAAATGTTTTGTTGGAAATATTTGGCATGTAGACATAGTGGTAAGATGCACCAGTTCATCTAAAAAACTAGATGGTGTTCACTGTCCGTGTCACAGATGGGTTCTCCAAATGGAAGATCAATGAATAAGTCTGAGGATGAAGTTCCTTTTGGCCCTGAATTAAACTTTCAACAATCAGATTCTACTCTGGTGGATGTACATGGATCACGTTCTGAAGAATTGCAGACCGCTCATCGTCAAACGTTGAGGGGTATTATTTACAGGAGCATTCGAGTCGTAGTTTTCTCTAACAAGCTCAACTTGCTTATGTTTTTTGGGCCTCTTGCGATTCTTTTACAGAAATTAACTGGTCATCATGTGAGTTGTGGTTCATACAATCCTTTACTTTCCTGACCTTTTGGTTAAATATCTTATATTGATTTGCTAAGGTGGACTGCAGGGCTGGGTCTTTGCTCTGAGTTTATTGGGTATAATGCCTCTGGCGGAGCGGTTAGGTTATGCAACAGAGTAATATTACATGTACTCTTTAAGATTTTTGTTAAGATTTTCACTTTTTTGTGGTTTTTTATGTTATTTTTTTCTTGGTTTTATATAGGCAGCTGGCATTTTACACTGGAGATACAGGTAAAGTAATAGCATTCTACTAAATCTATCTTCTTTTAAGTCAACATAGAAATGATGCTGAAATAAGTTAAAGCACAGATATTGAATGAAATATGATCTGTGTTCAATTTGTGACTGGTTTAGGAGATGTTGATTTCATGTGTCTTGCTAACTAATTAGTAGGAGAAGCCTCTCTTAATTTTCAATTTATCATTTGACATGCTATATTTCATTTGAAAATATTGATTCCATTTACTCACTTCTATCTTACATTGTTTTAATATACTTGCTTGTACTAAATATGGATTTTAATTCTGCATGCAGTGTCTAAGTGGTTCATCTTCTATTTTGTTGTTAGTCATGTGCTTGTGGTGGTTTATTTCTCTCTCTCTCTTTGTTTTTTTTTCTTCTTGGTAATCAGTTTATTTCTCATTTTATTCTAATATACCTTGCAGTTGGGGGTCTTTTAAACGCCACATTTGGAAATGCAACAGAATTGATCATCTCAATATATGCACTGAAAAGTGGGATGACTCGGGTTGTTCAGCTTTCTTTACTGGGTTCAATTTTGTCAAATATGTTGCTGGTTCTTGGATGTGCATTCTTAAGTGGTGGGATTGTTTTTCATAAAAAGGAACAAGTGTTTAACAAGGTAGACGCATTAGTTTCATCCTCTTTGATCATGTTCCCGATTTTCATTTTATATTACCTGTAGCTGATTCAATTTGCCATGTAGTCAATGGCTACTGTGAACTTAGGATTGTTGCTGATGGCAGTCATGGGCCTACTTTTTCCTGCTGTTCTACATTACACACACACGGAGGTCGATTTGGGGAAGTCAGAGTTGGCGCTTTCAAGATTCAGCAGCTGCATCATGCTTGTGGCCTATGCAGCATATCTATTTTTCCAGTTGAAAAGTCAAAAAAATCTCTATGTCTCTGTGAACGAGGTTGGCAGTCTGATATCAAGTTTCCTTTTTGCTTCCTCAGCCATTCTTTTGTTTGTGCATATGTGGCATGTGGTATGCCATGTTATATTATTGATTTGCTTGCTCTTTAGTATATGTAATCGTAATCATAATTTTGTTCTGAATAGGAACTGAGACACATGGACTGTTTAGGCTAATAGATTTTGGACAGAATGGCATCCCCTTTAGTCTTGAACAAAGGGGCAGACAACAAAGTCACAGTAGAATTTGATATTTTCAAACAACTTGTGATTTCCTTTCTGATTCTCACTTATTTATTGTTTCTTATGCTTGACATAACTTTTTGGCACCAAGTTGTGCTAACATGATATGAATTCAGCAGGAGGGTCAGGATGGAAACAACGCAAACGATGATGATTCTCCTGATATTTCTAAATGGGAATCAATAATCTGGCTTTCAGTTATGACTGCTTGGATATCTATCCTTTCAGAATATTTGGTTAACGCTATAGAGGTGGATAATGTTCACGTTTTCCTCTTTAATATATTTGATGAAGGCTTTGAAACTTGAAATTACTAAGTAGCAGTTACTTGTTTGAGATTTTTCTTTTTTTATTTCCACCCACAATATATCTAGTCTCTGATATATACGACATAATGTATTCAGATTGTATTGTTAGAAGGTAGTGGAATCGAAGTAGATTCCTTTGACAGTTTATCTTTCCGACTGATAATTTATTCTCTACTTAGTATAGTATGTTTATATGTTTATATAAGTCTGCAAATGCTTACTTGGCAAGGACTAAGTTTTGTGTCATCATTAACAATGCCTAGAGAAAGAGGCTGATCCACGTTTGGTAGCATTATATGCTTAATCATTATTTATAGATGATATGTTCATGAAGTTAAACTATTTCTGTCCACTAGTTAATCTTGATTATGTCTTTAATCCTTTTGAATGGTATATCTTCTTCCTTGATCGTTGCCTTTGTGCTTAGCTATTGGCCATTTAAGTTGTAGCTTTGCTTGTTAAATGAAATGCCATATGTCTTGTGGGTATTTTACAAGAAAGATGACTTGTCCAATATATCAATAAATGTTTTTTATGAAATTTATGGTATGTTCTTATTAGGACATTTTCTAAGGGAATAAATCTTTTTGTTTGATCAACTGTTTTACAGGGAGCATCTACTGCATGGAAAATTCCAGTATCATTCATTAGTGTCATATTGCTTCCGTTAGTGGGGAATGCAGCAGAACATGCCAGTGCTATAATGTTTGCCATGAAAGATAAACTTGTGAGCTTTCAGTTGTTGTACGCTATATACGTGCATGCACACACGCACGCGCGCGCGCACACACACATATATATATATATATTTATATATATATATATATATATATTCACTTTAATATTTTTTATTCCTTGCAGGACATTTCCCTAGGAGTAGCAATAGGGTCATCCACACAGATATCTATGTTTGTGGTAAGTATTATTATACTATATGGATGAGACTGAATTGCTATCTAGTATTATTTTTGCTTTAGTAAATAGACAATGCTTTCTCTAATTTCAGTTTTAATGCGATCAAGTGTTTGTGTGTTGCTGTTCGTGTGCTGTATTTGTATATATAATATACGCATGCCTGTACTAAGGTTGAATTTAATTGGTGCATATTTCTGATGGAGTACAATATGCTGAAAGATTGGCATGATGACTGAATAAGAAAAAGCAAAATATAGCAGTAAAAACAAATAAAAAAATAGTATGATTGAAACAGATAGTAATGAGATAACAGAATGTATTCATTTTCTTCCTTTGTGTAGTAGTTGATGGCTAGATGGTGCATTAATGGGGTGTCATCTGGTTTTTTCATTCTTAAATTTCTCCTTGTAACAAAAGTCTGCCTTGTGAAATTTCCTTCCTTGCTTGGATGGTTTGTTCATTAACAAAAAATGAGATATGCCTCCTTACAACATTCTCTCACTCAGTTCTCTACCAGAAGCTGATAAACAAAATTATATTTCTCTCATCTACCCTCTCCCTCTTATGTTTGTCTTTTGGTCCCCCAATTTGGGTGGTCAAAGCCATGAAATTTTAGGATTGTTAGTGTTAGCGAAATATACTATAAAATCATTAATGCGGTCTTTGTCTGACAACTTAAACTTTTGGGTTGAAATTGGTTGCACTATGAGCTGTTGTGGAATTAAAGCCAGGTTTGTATCCCTCAAGGGGTGTAGTATTTTACTATACGGGTACTCAAAAGTAGCAGTGGATGACCAAAGCTCAGAGAGTTACTGTGAATGCAGTCTTAGGTGTGGCAGAGAGAGGGAGAATGTGGATGGCCACGGTGACTCTATATTTTGGCAGAATAACAACTCATGAAAATAATGAATTGTAAATGCCCCCGTCAAGTGGAGAGGTATATATAGGTGGGAAATATTCCCCCGGAGAAGGGAATCATAACCGTTTTTGCCCTATACCTCATTCCACACATGAGAACAGGCTCCACTACATGGGTGTAGTGAGCTCTGCAGGGAGTGAGAGACCTTGAGGTCCACATGTTCAGTATAGGGAGTTTGGGGTTAACCCCTTAATAAGCCTTTCTAGGCCAGCCCAAGAGTGTTGGGCCAGTGGGGGTCGGTCTAAAACTGCAGAATACATTACATGGTATCAAGAGCCTTTATGATCAAGTGGTCACGAGTTCAATCGGCATTGCCCTGATTCTATTACAGTGTATCGTCCACCTTTCAAACTTAATGTGTTGCGTGACGGAAAGTGTTAGAGGAATATAATATAAAATCATTAATATAATTTTTACCGAACAACTTAATTTTTTGAGTTGAAATGGTTCTTTTTGGCTGGTACATGATTATACAATAGACCTTATTATTTGTTCATATTTTGTAATTGACTAGTGCGAAATCGACTTTTCTAAGAATGTATACTTATGTATCAGTTTTTATGTTTTCGTCATCTTTTTTATATTCTGATGTTGTTTACTTACTTCATATTTTGCTTTTCATTATGCAGGTACCCTTTTGTGTGGTTATTGGCTGGATAACGGGGCATCCTATGGACCTAAACTTTCAACTTTTTGAGACTGCAGCATTATTTCTAACTGTTATCGTCGTAGCCTTCATGTTACAGGTTTGTATTCAAATGTTAAAAAAAAATATGAAAAATAAATTCGTGTATGAAATCATTATGGGCCTAAAACATGTAGATAATGGTAACTCTGATTTGATAATTGCTATGGTAAATGGTCTGACATTGTGACATTTATTATGCATTTGCAGGAAGGAACTGCTAATTACTTCAAAGGACTAATGCTTGTTCTTTGCTATCTGATTGTGGCAGCTAGTTTTTATGTACATGTAGATTCCTATCAGTAGGTTAGACTTGTCCTGTCAAAACAACTTCCACGTTCGCTCAATTTTTTTCTTTTTGGTTATTATGTATGTATATATTGCTGCAACCACATCATGATGACCAAAATAATTGAAAATAAAAAAAATAATTGCCACCAATGTTTATATAAAAAAAATATTGGAAAAATCTTCTATAGAAAAAAATTGATATTTAAAAAATAAGGAAGGTTATATTCACAACTTTTTTTTTTATAACTTCTTACAATCATATTTTAACACCATTGATTTTTGCCAATCAACGGTTATTATTTTTAAAAATTAAACTCATTAATTAATTATTAATTCATAATAAATGATAATCGTTGATTGACGGAAATTAACAATGTTAAGATATAGTTATAAGAGGTTGTTAAAAAATAAGTGGATTTGAGAATCGAAAGGAAAAACTGTTAGCATTTTGTTCTGTACGAAAAGTGTTAACACCTTTTTCTGTCCGTTTGAAAAAATCGCTTACCTTCAAATTAAATAATTGTATGAATCATTAATAAATTTTAACAATATTTTTTTCACTTTAAAAAAACAAAAAATTTGGTTATTGGCAAGGAAAATTAAATTGACAAATATTTATAAAAAAAAATTGTAAGAAATTTAATTTTTGTTTGATGGGGTAACTTATGATGTAATGGAAAATTCATAGCTTTGTCATTTTTTGAGAAAATATTTGTGTTGGTTAATTTTAAATTTTGAAATTATTTTTTTAAAAATTTTGAAATTATTAATTATATGTAAATTCTTTTGAAATTATTTTATATTTGAATGGATTTAGAAAAATTTAGAATTAGACAGATGGGAGAATAATATTAATTTTGAAATTTTGGAACAAATTTTTTTATGGGAAAGTATATTGAAATTTCACAAGGCTTAAGATAATATATTGTACGAAAATTCATATGATATGTACAACACATGAGTATGAAGTATTTTACCATCAACATTATAAATTATTACATGGATTTAAAATTTGCAAGATAATTATTGGACAATGAAAGCACAAAATCTCAGTTTTGAGGAATTTTAAATAACTCATTTTGAAATAAATCAAAATTGCATTGGATCTTATATAGTGTGATCATACGAATATTCTTATGATGTGCACAATATTTGAGGATTCTTTAATTATCATAAAAAAATTTATTTGTTATTTGGAAAAAATATTTGTCAAGCTGCTTGAGATAAGTTTATCTCTTGTCACTCTAAAACTACATCGTTTTGTTTATTTATTTTCTTATATTAATTGATTCACCTTTGAATCGTTATGATTCTCTTTTTCTCTCCCTTCCTTTATCACCATTGATCCATCTTTGTACGGTTATGATTTAGTGGCCGGAGATAACATTGTCTCAAGCAGCTTGAGAAACAATAAGCCCTTGTTATTTTTATATTTATAATTTTTAAGAAAGGGTTTTATGTTTCTACTTTTGCTGCATAAAAAATTTCTCTGCTACATTTATATAAAAATAAGTAGGTTTTGTTATCAAAAAAAAAAAAAAAAAAATAAGTAGGTTTCATTAATTTTTTTCTCTTCTATTTACAGGACCGACTCACTTTGATATGAGTGTTACAAACAATTAATTTTTATGGAACAAAAGTAGAAATATTTTTTCCTTTAAGAAAATACTTCATCACATTCATAAACAAATATATTACATAAGGTAAACACGATAATAATAATAATAATAATAATAAAAGAGAAATAAAAACACAGATTATTTTCGTATTTTTTTTTTAAATTTTAATTTTTTTAATGAGATTAATATTTGCTCTTTTAAAAGATATATAATTGTGTCATTTTAGTCAAAACTATTGTGTTTTATAATGAGAGAAATATAAATCATGGTAGAAAAATATGAGAGATTTTTTTTAATTTAAATATTAAATAAAACATATTAATTTTAATTAAAATGATTATTCTTTAAAACGAAAAATATTTTTCTCTTTTTTCATTTATATACTTTCTTAACACTCATAAATGAGAATTCTATCCCAATTAAAATTTTATTTTATTTTATCTTTTTTTCATTTTTTTGAGAATTTTGTATTCTTAAATTTCAAATATTTTTGTTTTCATTAATGATTTTTCTATCTACTTAAATTAAAGGAAACATTATTTACTAGAAGTTTAGAATCAACCCATTTAAAAAAGAAAAAGCCCACTATTGATAGTTAGCCCCACATATAAGAAGAAATAATATCACACAGGCTATGTAGTTACGTAGACTGGTCCAATATCACATTACAAAATGAAGTTTCAATGGGCTCTTTCTAGGCCTTACCCTTCTCCAATAGTGGCACTTTTGACGCAAACCTTCCCAAAAACAAAACACTTTGAAATAGGCTCTCTGCTGGAAAAAAAGGCATGACCAAATATGGAAAGAAAGAAAAAATTAGAGAAATTCTTATATATTTTAATATTGATTTACAAATTCATCAAAACATTAATATATAACACAAAATTAAGTCTCTACATTCAAATTAACTTTAGAATACTTTATTATAATACAATATAGATCGTTTTCTGTATTAGTTGAGAGTAGATAATAACTTTTCAAAACACTCACTCTTAAAAGTTTTCTTCTTCTTCTTCTTCTTTCTTTAGGTGAATAAAAGTTAAGTGAAAGGAGAAACTGCCTTGTTCTAAAATCAAAACATATTACAAGTCATAGCAAATATTAAGGGTGAAAATAGATTTGTTTGGACCATTTATCGTATGTCTTTATTTTGGTTTGGCTTAAATTTTTCATTAAAAACATAACAACAAGATTTGCGTAAAAATATATTATGTAAAGGTATTGAATATTCCAATAGACTTATTTTAAGATTCAAATATATTTAACCTTTAATAAGATTATTGTATTGTATATAAAATAAATAAAATTATATTAACATTAAACTAATTAAGGGTGAATTATTCTTATACCGGTACAAAATAATAAGTTTTATATTTATTTTTGGCCATTGATTCACATAACTAAAAGTTAATATAGTTTACCGGAAGAAAATAGTTAAATATAAACGGAATTATAAGTCAAAATTAAGAGTATAACTCTAAAATGATACGATTCATTAAACTATGTATACAAACATAAAGAATTAATGCTGCAAACAGGAAATAACTTAATTTTTTAACACATGGAAATAGATAAAGTCCTGTAAAAAGAAGAGGTAAAAAAGAGAAAAAAATCACATGTATACAAGAATACAAATATCTTCTGTTTATAAGAGAAACAATAAAAGGTCTAGACTAATTAAATAGACATTTGATAAATACTAAATGCCTTTTTTAATGAAAAAAATTATTATAAGTTTTTTTTCTATACATTCTTCGATAACTGTGCCACATTTTTTTTTCAGGTGGTAGAGTCCACAAGTTTATCTCTATGACATGAGATAATTTATCTCCTTTAATATGAGATTAATAAAACCCCTTTTTAATATATATTCGAACATTGTCGAACCTACAACAATTTTTTTTCTAAGACCATTTTTCTATCCCGGCATGTTTTGTAAGAGATTAAGTGGGTTTTTTTTATCCTTTTGTCCTTCATTAATTAATTAACAACCATTTTGCCCCTTATCCAAAACTATCTACCAATTTGCCCTTATTTAATCGATTAACTTGAAGATTTAATCAATTAAATGGTCAAAACTGGCAAAAATGGTTGACTTGAAGATTTAATCGATTAAATATCTCTCTTAATCGATTAAATATCCAAGTTAATTGATTTAATCGATTAAAACTTATATTTAATCGATTAAATATCTCAAATGAACGTGAAAGCATTAATTGAATGAGACAAACACGGTATTGGAGGTTATTTGAATTTTAAATTTAATGTAATAGGAGTTGATTGCTATTTGTATTTAATAAGAGCTGATTGCGTCCTATTAAATACAAAACACAATCAGCTCCTATTAAATACAAATCGCAATCAATACCTATTAAATTCAAAATTAAAATGCAAAATTCAAATAACCTCCAATACACGAAAAACTGATTGAAGATTCTGCTAAGTATTTTTATGATGAATATGCAAGATGGGAAGAGTTCGTTGTTCGCCTTGATCGCTGTCATCGTTCCGAGGTTGACAATAAGATCACTTCGCGCCGTTTTTCATGTAATAAGCAAGGTTTTCATGTGAGAGGTAGAAATGGAGCCAGGCCTGTTCATGTAAATCAATCCAGTTTCCAAGAATCGTTTTTCTTTTGTTGGTTTCTTTGTTTGTTTGGTTATCTATGCTTGTTGATTTGCTTCATATGCATGGAATCTGCTTTTGTTCATGGAGGAAATTTGACCTTTGTTGCCTGTTAGAAGATTTAATCGATTAAATCTTCAAGTGAACCATTTTTGCCAGTTTTGACCATTTAATCGATTAAATCTTCAAGTTAATCGATTAAAGATGGGCAGATTGGTAAATAGTTTTGTATAAGGGGCAAAATAATTATTAATTAATTAATAAAGGGTCAAAAAGTCAGATTAAGTGGGTTCAACATTTAATATTAAAGGGCGTTTACTCAAAAAATGTAATTTTTTGGAATATGATCGGAAAGTGAGTTTCTCGAAAATATTATCAAAAAATTATTTGATAGGCCAAAATATTTACGGTAATGTTCGTTAATTTTCTTGATGTTATATATAGTTGATAGTAAAATATTACTGGAAATATAGATTAAGGTTAATTGTGTCCCCAAAAAAAGTATTAAATATTTTCATCATATGATATTTTCAAAATACCACCCATTTGATGGTATTTAAAGATAAAAATTTTCTTCATAAACATAAATACTTGGAATTTGATTTTTTCGAGAAAATTTTTATAATTCTTGTACCAAACATGAGTAAATCGAATTTCCAATTTTACTTTCTTAGGATTTTAAAATTTTATCTTCTATCAAATATCTCCTTAAAGATTTAATATCTCACGAGATAAAATTATTTGATACACAAATATAAAATTATATGGCATTTATATTTATTTTTTTCTCTTATCGTGATTTTATATGAGTGTACATATTTTTACGTGTACTTATGGAATAATTGTCTTCTGTAACACGTAAAACATCACACTCTACCATTGAGTGAATATTTAGTG